CAGCGTGGGTTGGAGAAGACACGTGCTTCTCTTTGCATTGTGTGGTTTGTTAATTGGACCCATTAGCTCCTCTCCCTGAGCCTGAGGTTTCTCATCTGTGAAATGGGGTTAGTACTAAATGAGGACCACAACATGTAGCACTTAGCTCAGTGCTGAGCCCAGAGGGCGATCCTTACAAATATTCATTTGCCGAGTCAGCATAACATAACAAAAGCTTGCAATTGTCCAGGCCAATTGTGTTAGCTGCCCCATCCTCTGGAAGGATATGGAGCAAGAATCTGGACTGAGCTGGTAGGGGGTTGTTGGCCAGACAAGGGAATCTGCCTTTCAAGAGCAGCCCTGGAGAGGGGATTAGAAAGGGGTCTTGAAGAAGGAGCAGGGCTTCAGTAGGCAGAAGCATCAGTTCTAGAAGTTAGAAGTCTAACCTGGGTCTCACTGGGTTAAAAACTAGGAAGTTGGTAGGGCTGTTATGTTTCTGGGGCCTCTAAGAGAGAATCTGTTCTTGCCTCGTCCAGTTTCTAGAGGCCACCTGCATCCCTTGGTTTGTGGCCCCTTCCTTCGTCAAAGCCAGCAGTAGCTGATCTAGTCTTTCTCATATCACATCACTCTGAGCTGACTCTCCTGCCTCTGGTTACATCAGGTCCACCCAGATCATCCAGGATAACATCCCTGTCACTATCCTTAATTCCATCTGTAACCATAGTTCCCTTTGCCATGTAACCTAATGTATTCACAGGTGCCAGCAGTTAAGGGTTACTTTGGAGGAGTGTGATTTTGCCTACATAGTCCCTGCCCTGTTCTGGGGGCTGAGGTGGTGAGGAGGAGGTGGAATCCCCCGGGAGGCTGTGTGGTACCCACCCGCTGTTCATCACTCCAGCCTCCGTGTTACATTCTCCAGGTGGCCTTGACTCACTTTTCCCCTCTCCCCACCGCCACCACTGCCCCATTACTGGCAAGTCTCTCCCAAATTCTGCACTTCTCCTGAATGTTGGTCATAATGGTCATAAATAAAGCAGCATCCCTCCGTTTCAGCACTATTGATACTTTGAGCACTTAGTTCTCTTTTGTGTGGGGGTGCTGTCCTGCACCTTGTATGATGTTTAACTCTGTCTCTCACCTCTACATGCCAGATGCTGGCGGCACTCTCATCTGGGTGTGACAACCCCAAATATCTCTAGACAATGCCGGATGTCCTCTGGAGGACAGATTGCCCAGGGGCCGAGAACCACTGATATCATGCCTTTAATGTCTTCCTTACTAGATTGGGCACCCCAAGAAGGAAGCCCCAAGAGGGTGACACCCCATCAGTCTTCCCCATCCCTGTGTCCCCAGCACCTGTGTACTGCTTGGCATTTCGTAGATGCTCAACATACTGGTTGAATGAATTAATGGGTTTGTGTTAATTTTCTTTATTTTGTGTTAACTTTCTTAATGGAGAAGTTAGCCTATAAAGTATGTGTGTGTATGTGAGTGTAAAATAGACTTCTATTTCCATAAACTGGCTACCTAAGAATCACTTGGGGTGATTCTTTAAGTAGCCCCATTCCTGGGTTCCACTCACAGAGTTGGGGTTCAGGCTGATGAGGTACAGCCTGTGAGTCTGTGTGGCCAAGAGTTCTTCACCAATTCCTCAAAAAGGCAAACACAGAATGACCATATGATCCACCAGTTCTGCTCCTAGGCATATACCTGAAGGAATTGAAAGCAGGGACTCAGATATTCAGAGCAGCTGTATTCACGATAGCCAGAAGGTGGACACCATCCAAGCATCCACCAACAAATGGATAAACAAAAGGTGGTGTGTACACACACAACAGAGGATCATTCCACCGTACAGTGGAGTGAAATCTGACACAGGCTACGACATGGATGAACCTCGAAGACATCATGCCAAGTGGAATCAGCCAGTCACAGCAGAGCACATGCTGTGTGCTGTCACTCATGAGGTCCCTGGAGCAGTCAAACCGGAGAGACAGAAAGTAGAACGGGGGTTGCTGGGGTGGAGGGGGCTGGGAGCTGGTGTTGGATGGGCACCGAGTTTCTGCTCAGGATGATGAAAGAGTTCTGGAGCTGGGTGGTGGCGATGTGAATGTCATTGTGAATGTACTTAGTACCGTGGAATTGTATACCTACAAATGGTTAAAATGGTATATTTTCTGTTACTTATATTTTACCACACACACAAGAGTGCTTCATCCCAGCTAGATCTGGGAATGAAGAATGTGGAATGAATGGTGGGGGGTTGGGGGGGTTGCATACTAGATGAGCTCTAACCGTTCATTTAGGCCTTGGAGTCAGAGCTGATGGGGATGGGAGCAAACTTGGCTAATTTCTCTAGGAGGCAGCCCTCCCCTGGGACATACACATAACTAAGCTCTAAGGGGCCAGGCTGGCCACCGAATGGAGGCCACATGTCATGTCCACGGGGGCAGCTGTGCCCAGCTCTGTCTGAGCCTTGCCATGTGCCTGGTTACGGGAGAGAAGTCCCGAATCTGGGTTTATATAAAAAACCTCAGTGCTTAAATCTTGACACCTGGTTCAGTGAACAGGTGAACAAGTCAACAAGGCACTTGTGGGTCAAACAGAACAGCTCTTCAGGCCTCGGGTGTGGGGTGGCGTGTTTTCTTGGAGGCTTGGGTGACCACTGAAGAACTCCAAGTTCTGCTTGCTCTTACCGGATGTCCTGTCACTTCTGAGGTCTGGGCCAGCTCTCTCTGCGATCCCTGGGAGTTTCCCTTGCTTACAGGGCTCCTGAAAGGGAGCTTTATAGACAGAAGGGTGCATATGAGTGCCTGGGGTCTGGATTCTGCTCAGGCTGGGGTCTGGTCTCTGCCATTGTGAGCTGTGGGGTGTAGGAGACTTGCCTCTTTCTTCCCTGTTGCCTCAGTTTCCTTGTCTTTCAAGTGGGATAGTAATAGCTCTGCCTGGGAGAGTTAGAATGGGGCCTCAGGGAAGGCCAGCTGAAGGGCCCCGAGGTGTGTGTGGGTGGTGATGTGTGTCAGCTCCGGTGGGAGCATTGAGCATGCGTGAAGCAGCGCAGGCCATCAGCTGGGAAATTACACAACCTGGACATCTGTTTCTGCGTCTGTGATGTACCTGGTGATCTGCTCCTCCAAGAGTCATTCTGGGGATTAAGTAAGATAATGTCCAAACAGTGCCTGGCCACAGCATGTGCCCCGTACACATTCATTTTGTTCCTTGTAGTCCAATGCTTTTGATCTTTGCGAAGACTTGAGCAGAGGGAGCCGGGGCTGCTTGGCCGGGGCTGGAAACAGAACGAGCAGAGAGCCAGGAAATGGACTCGGTCCTGCCCCTCTGTACTGACTCCCTCTCCTCCTTCCCGGCTCTGAGGATGGTCCTGGTTTTGTCCTCAGAAGCCCACACACTGGCTGTTTCGGAAGGTGGCCTCAGCTTTCCAGGGCAATTGAATAACTTGGGAATCTCCATTTATTGATACCGACTCTTTCAAGATCCCATGGACTGTAGCCTGCCAGGCTCCTCTGTCCTTGGAATTTTCCAGGCAAGAATACTGGAGTGGGTTGCCATTTCCTCCTCCAGGGGATCTTCCCAACCCAGGGATCGAACCTGCATCTCCTGAATTGCAGGAGGCTTCTTTACCATTTGAGCCACCAGGGAAGCTGCTACATTTATTGAGATCAGCTTTATGCCAGCCCCAGAACACATACTTTGCTGGGGATGGGCCCAGAGGCCATCTCCTTCGTGATACGCCGGGTTGGCTGGCTGGAGAAAGGGCCTTTGCCCTGCCTGGAACCTCTTTGAGGGTCAGAGACTAGGGGGACATCATACCCACCCAGCTTAGGGAGCAGCTCAGGGTGCCGAGGGCCTGCCCAAGATCCCATGTCTCTGTAACCAGGCCCCAAACTCCACAGGTACTTGGGGTGTTGATCCCATGAAAGAGGATAAAAGGCCCTTAAAATCCTGAGATGCTAAGGGGCCTAAAGGGCTATGTGACCTTTGATGAGTGACTGACCAGTGGAATTTAAGGACCACTCTGGCAACAGGGGTCAGACGAATGCATCTCAGGTTCTTGTGGGGTCCTAACCATGTGATGGGACAGAGGTGCCTCCAGGTCTGTTGAAGTGCCAGCACAATTTCCAAGTGGTGGTGGGCTCAGGGACATTCAGGCTGGAGTCAGCACCCCCTTGTTGCTTACACACCTGAGTGTTCTGATGTCTGTCCACTGGCCAGGGATAAGAAGTGGTGGGGCGACAGGAACAGCTATGTGTGCACCTTCCTCAGCTCCATGTATTCATTTTGTGTGCTTGTTAACATGTGTGTTCACTGTGTTTGTACATTTATCACGTGTGCATATTCATCGCATGTGTGTCCCTAGCACGTGTTCATTATAGGGCACGCTGGGCAGGATACGGGGAGGGGTGGGCAGCTGACCTGGTCCATCAGGAGTCCTTCCAGCCTTGAGAAACGTGTCCTCTGAGGCCCTGGGGTTCGTGAGGCGGGAGAAGAAGGGGGTACTCACCGCGAGGGAGAGTTGACGTCCTTGTCCCCAGCACCTGGCCTCCAGCTGGGGATGGGGACTGTCCACAGGAAACAAGAGGACAAAATGAGGTGGTGGGGGGGGAGGGCGCATTTGTGAATCCATCTCACCCACTTGTGAATCCATTTCACCAGGCTTTTCTGAGCCAGTCGGCCAGGTTCAGCCGTAGGAAGGTTGAGGTCTAGTCTGGGGCTGATGCCAGGTCCCCAGTGGGGCTGCCCAACATGATTAAGATATCAGCAAAGAACGGGCACCCAGTGTGGGTGCAGAAGTGGGTGATGGGAGGGGCTGTGCTGGGTGGGGGAGCCCAGACCTGTGTGAGCCTGAAGGAAGGACACATAGGCTTGATGCTGGCTGGGGAGGGGCTTGTCCCAGTCTCCTGGCTAGGAAGCTGCACCCAGGCTCACTGGGATGGGACGTGGGCTCTGGCACCTCAGGCAACACCAGCATCAGCTCCCCGTCTTTCTCTCCCATCTCTGCAGGAGGTGGAGGAAAGCGCAAAGGGAAAAGCAAGAAGTGGAAGGAAATCCTAAAGTTCCCTCACATTAGCCAGTGTGAAGACCTCCGAAGGACCATAGGTAAGCCGTCCTGCTCCAGGGGGCGCGGGGAGGAGCTGGGAGGGGAGCGAGGAGCCCAGTCACTGCAGAGTCATCTGTCCAGCGTGTCAAAATGGACAATGCTGTAAAGTGGTGCCAGGTAGGAGCTCCAAGCTGATGCCTTTGCCAGTTGGCATAAAGATACAGCCAACATTCATCCAACATTCATGGAGCATTTGATGCATGCTGGGTGGGATCAACCCCCAATTACCCTTTGAGGCTGTTAATTTGCCTCCCTTACTTTATGTGTCTGTATGTGCCTGCTAAGTGGCTTCGGTCACGTCTGACTCTTTGCAATACTATGGACTGTAGCCCGCCAGGCTCCTCTATCCTCCTAAAGATGAGGGAGAGGCAGACTGGCTGGGACCTCGGGCTGTGGGGAGTGATGATGTGCCAGTGAGCTCCTGGCTTTCCTTTTTGCCTCCCTTATATCCCCAGAGACACTCACCACCCAGAAATGCCAGTGGGTGCAAAGAAAGACGACACCTCCCATCCAAAAATAAATAAAGACATGAAAATCGTGTTCTCTCTGGGCAATGGCCGGGGACAGGGACAGCTGAGCTGAGCTGGCCCCTCCAGAACGGTCACACTTTGGCCACTGTTCACCCCAACAATGTGAACACCTCACTTTCTACCTTCCTTCTCACTTATCCTTGAGCCAGATTCAGGGACCTAGTGCTCCCTCCCTCTCCATGTCTCTCGTCTCTGATCCTGACACTTAGAGGTGAGCCAGCTCTACTGAGATTCATTCCCTGCCCCCTGATTCTCAGTCTCCCCAAGTCTAACCCTGCTCCCCAGGAGGCCTCAGGCCATTGCCCCAGGCCACCAAGGCCCCTCACCTTCCGGTTGGCCTGGCCCCACCCTCTTCACTTCCGGCCTGGGGGACCCGGGAGCCTAGGCTTTACCTCTGAGCTTTGCTCTGCCGGTGGACCCCACCCCACGGGCCCCCGCCCCATCTGTCTGTCTAGGTCCATAAACCAGCCTCTTGGCACGGTCCACTCCCCTGGGAGGGTGTGAGAAACGTGTGCGCTGGCGTGTGAAAATGAATTCTTCTGTTCTCCTTGAGGGCATTGAAAAGGCTCTGTGTGTGAGGGCAGTGTGAAGAGAGGCCGAGAAAACAGGAAGGCCGCCATAAAGCAGCCGAGGGGCTGCTGCTCGCGGGGACGGGCCCCAGGGCTCGGGCCTTCCTGCGTGTTTACAGTCCGTCGCCCTGGTGTTTGCCCAGCCTCTGCTGGGGTCCTGCTGGAAGGCTTTCCTAAATAAAAATCTCATTTCTTTTCTAGACCAATACACAAACCAAACAGTGGCAAATGCCGCATTTATTTTTCTTGCGCACACATGAGCTCATTTTCTAAAGCTTTGGAGAGGATGTCCCGGGACAGGCTTTGGGCCAGGGTGACGCAGCCCTTGTGGGCCTGGAAGGCCGCGTGGGAAGGCTCTTCATTAGAGGGGAGGACGGAGCCCTCTAGGATCCCCTGGACTGGCCAGAACAGTGGTCTGTTGAAGCCATACCCTCTCTCTTGCGCTCAGCATGGCCCTGTCAACTGCAGGCCATCTCCTTCAGCAGAGACCCCAGGGTGATTTTAAGAAATGAGAACAGCACCCAGTGGACCCCTTGCTGAAACCACAGCTGCCTCTCCTTCCCCCTGGAATGAAACACAAACTTCTCACTGTGCCTTATGAGCACTTTGGCCGTTGTATGAAGCTTGGGGATCCCCTCTCAGAATAATGTTTTTACATATACAGAAAACAAAGTACATGGTGTTGCAAAGGAGACCAGTTCTTTTCAGATAATTAGATACTTTAAAATATTATGATCTGGAAGTATATGAGCTTTTTTGTCTTTCAGTCATGTATGACTCTTTGAGGTCCCATGGCCTGTAGTCTGCCAGGCTCCTCTGTCCATGGAATTTTCCAGGCAAGAATATTGGAGTAGGTTGCCATTGCCTACTCCAGGGGATCTTCCCAAGCCATGCATCAAACCTGCATCTCTGGGTCTCCTGCATTGGCAGGTGGAGTCTTTTACCACTGCACCACCTGGGAAGCTTTAATAACGCTCAGCAACTGGTCTAACCAAGGCTCAGCAACTGTTCTAATAGCTACTGTAATTCTGAATTAGTGAGGAGCATAATGGTGATTGCAGCCATGAAATTAAAAGACACTTACTCCTTGGAAGGAAAGTTATGACCAACCTAGATAGCGTATTAAAAAGCAGAGACATTACTTTGCCAACAAAGGTCCGTCTAGTCAAGGCTATGGTTTTTCCAGTGGTCATGTATGGATGTGAGAGTTGGACTGTGAAGAAAGCTGAGTGCCGAAAAGTTGATGCTTTTGAACTGTGGTGTTGGAGAAGACTCTTGAGAGTCCCTTGGACTGCAAAGAGATCCAACCAGTCCATCCTGAGGGAGATCAGCCCTAGGTGTTCATTGGAAGGACTGATGCTGAAGCTGAAACTCCAATACTTTGGCCACCTCATGTGAAGAGTTGACTCGTTAGAAAAGACCCTGATGCTGGGAGGGGTTGGGGGCAGGAGGAGAAGGGGACAACAGAGGATGAGATGGCTGGATGGCATCACCAACTCGATGGACATGAGTTTGAGTGAACTTTGGGAGTTGGTGATGGACAGGGAGGGCTGGTGTGTTGTGATTCATGGGGTTGCAAAGAGTCAGACATGACTGAGCGACTGAACTGAACTGAACTGATAAGTAATATTTCCAGATACCTGCAATGATGGTGATACGAATGGGTGTGAGATTTCTCTTGTTGACCATTCCCAGGCACTGCTAACATTACTGTGGGTTGTTGTTGACATTCATGAGTCAGGAAGTGCTCATTTCCAGTTACAGGCTGATGAATAGAGAGACGATGTTTTTCTCCATCCAAGTTCAGTGAGTGAGTGAAGTCGCTCAGTGGTGTCTAACTCTTTGCGACCCTATGGACTGTAGCCTACTAGGCTCCTTCATCCATGGGGTGTTCCAGGCAAGAATACTGGAGTGGGTTGCCTTTTCCTTCTCCAGGAGATCTTCCTGACCCAGGGATTGAACCCGGGTCTCCCGAAGTATAGGCAGACTCTTTACCAGTGGAGCCACCAGGGAAGTCAGGATTCAAGGACCTCTTAAATCCTGTCCGTGGACCTCTTGGCAATGACCTTCCTATGCTGCCTTGTGTGAGTCTGCCTTCACTTTGGTCTCAGTCACTCCCTCCTCCTCTGTTGACTTTGCTGTGCTGGTTGCTTTTTCCATGACTGCCCCCAAATTGTCTCTAGCCTAGAGCCTCTGGACCTGCTGTTCCTTCTGCCTAGAATGCTCTTCCTCTACATTCAGGGGACCTTTAGGTCTCAGTTCAGATAGCACTTCCATAGAAAAGCCTTCTGGGACTTCCCTGGTGGTCCAGTAGCTAAGACCATGCTCCTATTGTAGGGGGCCCAGGTTCCATCCCTGGAACTAGATCCCACATGCTGCAACCAAAGATCCTGCATGCCACGGTGAAGATGGAAGAGCCTGCTTGCCACAACTGAGACCCGGTACAGCCAAATAAATAAATAGTTTTTTAAAAAAGAAGAGAAAAGCCTTTCCAACTAATCTTTAGAAAGGAACTGTATTCTCCTTTTAATTGCTATCTTTCCCATAGTGCTGTCTATTAATCCTCTTGGCCCATAACCCCAGCTGCAGTCATCTTGTGTTTAGTTGTTGACCTGCGTGTTTTCTTTCTCCCTCACTGCACTGGCTGTCCCATGACCACAGTGACTGTGTGGGTCACCACTAGGACAGTGCCCAGCACACTCTAGCGGCTCGTTAAATACTGGGAGAGTCAATGAAGTGAAATCTTGAAAATTAGGGCTCTGTTTAGAAAATCTGTGACATGAACTTGGCATTCCCAAATTTAATGTAGCCCATGGTTTAAAACTAAAAGTCATTAAAATTCAGGCTTAGAAGTTACCTTAGAAAGCATCTGCTTTAACACTCCATTCCCCCATTCCCTAGCAGATAGATGAACTAGTCAGAGGGGTAGGTGACCTGGTGACTCCTGGCCCAGGCCAATTTCCCCTGAGGCTGCAATTAGAATAATTCTTACAGGGATGTTAGACTTTTACAGAATTCTCAACTCAAGGAACTGGAGAGCATGTTGTCCAACCACCCTTTTCAGACCTGAGTCTGAATGTCAGAGTCTGTTAGCCTCCAAGAGGAGAAGTGACCTGCCTTGGATAGTCCAGGCCCCTGGTCCTCAGCTGCAACTCTCTATTCACCAGCATTATGTTGACTCACAAACATTTTTTTGGCATCAGCCCCCAGCCAGTACCCAAAGCAGAGAGACTGCTTGCAGGCACTCAGAAAAAGAGACATTTCTGTCTCTTTTTTTCTTTCGTCTTCTAAGTGTGGGTTGCATGTCCATCAGATTACTGTACAAGTTTATTGGGCCCTCATGGTATGCTATGCACTTGAGAAACAGGCCTGATTCCTGACCCCCCAACCCCTGCCGCCACCCTCAAGCTCACTCATGGCTGAACCCAGGAGGCTGGCAGAAATAGGTGATAGCAAATTGAGAAAGTTTCATGTTGGAGGGACAGATTGCTGAGCTGGAGAACTGTGCCGTGGGTCTTCCACCCATCAAGAACTTCTCTGGAGAAAATGACATCATTCTGAGCCTCTCAGGGCATCTCTTTGTGTGAGCTCCAGAGGGACGTGGACCACATCTTCCTTCTTGGGTCTCCATTGCTGGTACTGGGAGTAGATGGATAGGTGGATGTATCAAGTGATTGAATGAGCGCCGCCCTCCTTCCCAGCCTGGAAACTGTAACTAACTGTGAATGGCAGCAATGAGTATTAAGACAGAGATTCCTTGCCACATGTATCTACTTCCAATTGAGCCCCAGACATCAGTAACCAATTTTAGACAGTCCTGGCAGAGAGCAGACAGATCGTGAGAGGAGGAAGTGTTCTCTAATATCTGCTTGATGAAACATCGAATAATGGCATTCGTTA